TAAATAAATAGGATGTTAGGGGTGAAACTCGGGTATTTTGTAGTGATAGATTTAGCAGTTACAGCACTGGAGGGGGCCCTACTTGATGTTATTGAAACAATCATTGTTAACTTAACGTGTATGCTCAATGCTCAATGTAGGCTTAGCATATCCATTGTGCATCTTATTTCTATTACCATTGGACTCCTGTGAGTAAATGGATGTACTGCGTTCTCTTCATATGTAGTGTTGCTGACTTGCTTATATAGGATTACTGGTGAGCAGATAAAACTCCTATTGAGTGATGATAGTGTTAAGAGCAACATACAAACTCCTACTGATCATAAGCATGTTCATGTGTTGCTGTTATGTAGATATTCTTGAAAGTTTGTTTATGGCTGTTTTGGAGCGTATGCACATTGGCAATTAAAATTATCTAGTTTGTTCAATTCAGTTTCTTGACAACAACATGCTTTAAATGTTAACCTGAAATTTTGCACCACGCAGATGCGAAAAGGTTGATCGGTAGGAGGTTTAGTGATGCCTCTGTGCAAAGTGACATGAAGCTGTGGCCATTCAAGGTCATTCCTGGTGCTGGTGATAAACCCATGATTGTTGTCAACTACAAGGGTGAGGAGAAGCAGTTTGCTGCCGAGGAGATCTCATCTATGGTGCTAATAAAGATGAAAGAGATTGCTGAAGCGTTCCTTGGCACAACTGTTAAGAATGCTGTGGTTACTGTTCCAGCCTACTTCAATGACTCTCAGCGTCAGGCCACCAAGGATGCTGGTGTTATTTCAGGATTGAATGTGATGCGTATTATCAATGAACCTACAGCAGCTGCCATTGCTTATGGTCTTGATAAGAAGGCAACAAGTGTTGGTGAGAAGAATGTGCTTATCTTTGATCTTGGTGGTGGTACATTTGATGTCTCTCTTCTTACAATTGAGGAAGGTATCTTTGAGGTGAAAGCTACTGCTGGAGACACCCATCTTGGAGGTGAGGACTTCGACAATAGGTTGGTTAACCATTTCGTTCAGGAATTCAAGAGGAAGAGCAAAAAGGATATCACTGGTAATCCTAGGGCACTCAGAAGGTTGAGAACTGCATGTGAGAGGGCAAAGAGGACTCTTTCTTCCACTGCTCAGACCACCATTGAAATTGATTCTCTGTACGAGGGTATTGACTTCTATTCCACCATCACACGTGCTAGATTTGAAGAGCTTAACATGGATTTGTTTAGGAAGTGTATGGAACCAGTTGAGAAGTGTTTGAGGGATGCTAAGATGGACAAGAGCACAGTTCATGACGTCGTCCTGGTTGGTGGCTCCACTAGAATCCCAAAGGTTCAACAACTTTTGCAGGACTTTTTCAATGGGAAGGAGCTCTGCAAGAGTATCAACCCCGATGAGGCTGTTGCCTATGGTGCTGCAGTGCAAGCTGCTATTTTGAGTGGTGAGGGTAACGAGAAGGTGCAGGACCTCCTGCTGTTGGATGTTACCCCTCTTTCCCTTGGTCTGGAAACTGCTGGTGGTGTCATGACCGTGTTGATTCCCAGAAACACAACTATCCCAACTAAGAAAGAGCAGGTCTTCTCAACCTACTCTGACAACCAGCCTGGTGTGTTGATTCAAGTCTATGAAGGTGAGAGAACGAGGACTAGAGACAACAACTTGCTTGGAAAATTCGAGCTTTCTGGTATCCCTCCTGCTCCTAGAGGAGTTCCTCAAATCACAGTATGCTTTGACATTGATGCCAATGGTATCTTGAATGTCTCTGCTGAAGACAAGACCACCGGGCAGAAGAACAAGATTACCATCACCAATGACAAGGGCAGACTCTCGAAGGAAGAGATTGAGAAGATGGTTCAGGAAGCAGAGAAGTACAAGTCTGAGGATGAGGAACACAAGAAGAAGGTCGAGGCGAAGAATGCTTTGGAGAACTATTCATACAATATGAGGAACACTGTGAAAGATGAGAAGATTGCATCCAAACTGTCCGCTGAAGACAAGAAGAAGATTGAGGATGCCATCGAGGAAGCAATCCAATGGCTTGATGGCAACCAGCTTGCCGAGGCTGATGAATTTGAAGACAAAATGAAGGAACTCGAGGGCATCTGCAACCCAATCATTGCAAAAATGTACCAGGGCGCTGGTGGCGACATGGGTGGTGGGGATGATGAGGGTCCTGCTCCTAGTGGCGGCGGTGCTGGTCCTAAGATTGAGGAGGTGGACTAAGTTGGTGCTCCTATATTGTTTTTTATTTCTTATTTAGAGACCTGCAATTTTATTTCAAAGATCTGTGTGGCTATGATTTTTGCCTAGTAGTTGAATTATATTATTTTCATTCTGCAGTCAAGTACTGCTGTTTTTTATTTCTCGGTTTTCATCAAAAGTTGCTCTTCCTTATGGGTGTTTCTGTAGCTTTGCATTGTCTTAGTCTTAGTTCCCCTTTGAGCTTGAGGTCAACTAATAGCTTAGCTAAATTGAGTTAGGCGAAGTGTGAAAGATGCCTATTTTTTGTTTTTTTGTTGATCTTAATCCTAACTAAGCGGATTTTGACCAGGGAGCTTGCTAGCAGTATATTATCTTTTATTTTAGTACAAGGATATTTCAAAGATAATGATACATTTGGGTCAAGGAGGTACTAAATACTACTAAGAGGGGTCAGATTTGCTAAACAGTATTTCCAGATCTGAAAGGCCAAATTCTGTTGAAGGTCTCCACACCTCTTTGATATCAGTAATCTTTAATTTCTAGTATCTTTAACCTTCTCCACCTCACGACAATTGGGAACAAGCACTGAAATAGCATGTAACTATCAACTCCTTGTAACGTGCAAAATGTTTTAAAATGAAATTATATTAAAAGAGGAAGAAATCCATCTTGAATAGAAATCCTCTAAAAGGGATTCCACAATAATTAAGAAAAAAAGTTCTTAATCCTCTTCAACTCTTCCCATGAAGAGATACTAATAAGATAGTCCTAAATAAGTTTTGAGCGAACTCTACGTAATGAGGTCAAATCTATACGTGGCACAAAGTTATTGGCTCTCATGATGTGGACTTGTGGTCCCTAAAAATAAAAGATACGTCCATCCTCTAGTAATGTCGACGAAGGAGCCATATTGCCAATCCAATCAATCTTCTATTACCAAATCCTTAAACTAACAAATTTTGTCACTTTGTTTATTTTCTTATCCTCGACCATGTAGTCCCTTTCTTGCTTTTATAGGGTAGGGTAGGGCTAAGGTCTGCGTACACACTATCCTTCCCAGATTTTATCTATGGAATTAAACTGGATTGTTGTTAACCATATAGTCGCTCTCTCTTTATCACAATCATGCTTTGGCTTGGGGAATTTCGTGTGGTTGAGAATGGAGTGGACGTAGTTTACTGAAAATTGTCTTCTTGAGCAAAGGAAACCAATAGCCGTTTTGGCCAAGCTGCAAAAATCAGCTTATTTTAAGAAGTGTTTTTCTCAAAAGTACTCTTGCTGAGAAGCAGTTTGTGTTTGGCTAATTAGTTTGAAAAGCACTTCTGAGCAGCAATTAGTGTTTGGCCAAGCTTTAAAAAACTGCTTCTAAGTGTATTTTTCTCAAAAGTGCTTCTCAAAAAAGTGCTTTTGGAGAGAAGCTACTTTTTTCTGCTTCTCCAAAACTGCTTCTGCTTCTCCTCAAAAGCACTTTTTTTTCCTTCCAAAAGCTTGGCCAAACACCTCAATTTTTGGCCAAAAGTGATTTTGGCAAAAAAAAAAATACTTTTGGCCAGAAAGAAGCTTGACCAAACAGGCTACAGGACAAGTTGAAGGCAAAGGAAATAACACTACAATAAAGACAATGAAAGGGGGCAGAAAAATCAATAGCTACTTGTAGTGGGATGGATGCCTTTGGCTCAATAATAGAATTCGTGTGGGTACCATATAATTTACTCGTATGTGACATCGATTTTATTTGGAAAAATATAACAACATACCCAGTATTATCCCACATCGTGGGGTATGGGGAGGGTAGTGTGTACGCAGACCTCCAAAATTCTGTAAATTAACTAATTAAGTCACGACACACTCCACCTACTCAATATATTTATATGGCACAATATAGACAGGCTCTCATGATGTGGAATTGGGGTCCTTAACACACAACAGAAGTCCTCCAAAATAACCAAGTGGGGTTGTTTTAAGTTATATGAACAAGACCATATCACCTATCCAACAACCACTCTATAATCCTTCCTCAACCTAACAACCTTATCACTTTCCTCCTTCTATTTTCTTTACAAAATTACTTTTTGATAATTGCGCTCATCTCGATTATTCCTTACGGATTCTGCTACTTTGAAGGTCGGAAGTGCACTTATGAATTCAACCAAAATCTGTGTCCACTAGTAATATATCACTATTTTCTATAAAAATATTTACATGAATTTTTTGCCGAACTTAATGGGTGCCGGTGACCCCTCCCTATATAGCATAGGTCCGCCTCTAAGTACGTGTATCGAATAATCCTACCCATAACACGACTTAGTCAAATAAGAAGAAAGCACCTAGCATTTTTTTAAATCTCTGTTGAAATTTGAAGACCAATTTCTCATGATTTTTATCTCATTTCATTGACCGCTAGTCATCATATCATGGCGATTATGTTACCATCCTATTCTTCAAAAACCATACACAACATCAGCCTGTCTCAAATCTCTTTCTAAGAATCATGTTTGGCTTAGGGGAGGAGATTATTTACTGAAATTTGCTTTCTTGATCCATACAAAAGGAAAATAAGTCCAAAATTCCTCATCTAAAGCTTACAAGCTATCCAAGATAAGTTGATGCCAAAGGTGTGGCTGCCTTATATACCTCTTTATTTCTGTGGCCTCAATTTTATTTTGAAAAATTCACAACACAACAGATTCACATGTATGAAGTAATTTCTTGAATACCAAAATCCATTCTACAATGCAACATTTAACATTTTCTTCAGAAATAGAACCAAATACTTCGTTATGTTAGCAAACCGAATTACTATGCTAAGCATGAGAAGCAATGAAGTTTAATAGATAACACAACATCAATTACTATGCTAATAAACCAAGGAGTGAAATTTCATAGCAAACACTGTTACAACAAAAACTAGCTGGAAAAAGACTACCAAACACAACATTTAGTGTGTGAAAATGGAACACAAGATCATATTCAGTTCCATAAACCACAATATAGATAATATAAAGTCAGCGTCCAATGAAGTCATTTCCCACAAGGTGAGGACGGAGACATACCCGAACTTCATGCTCTTCTTCCGGCCCCTCGCGAACTTTTGGCACCAATATCTCAAGCACTGTTCCTGACGCATCGTAGTATGCTTCTATTTTAGCATCTTCAGGAATTCTTGTTGAAAGAGGGATCTCTCTGACAAACTCCCCTGGAGGGCAGTGTTCTGAGGATGACGCTTCAAGCTTGAAAGTCCTGTTCTGTCTCTTGATGAACGGGATCCGAGATGTGCTCAAACAAGACACCTTGATTATCCCATGCGTGAGCGTGTTCCTCCACGAAACTTTCACCCTTTGAAGATCTACAAATGGCAAACTGATTATGATCAAATAGCCTTCATCGTCTTCGTAGATGGATTTTGCAGCTGTTACGGGCCCATAAACATCCCTCATCACCCCACTAAATTCATTTAACCAATATGGTTCATTTGGGTGAATTTCCAGGTCTGGAATTTGATAGGAAGTAGGAGGATTTACTTGCAGATAACACTCTTCTTCATTTCCATTCGAGAAGAAGTCCTTTTTCCTTTTTCCATTGACAGGTAGTAGTAGATCCATCGCGTCTCCGTTGCTATGATTGGACGGCTGAGTTGACAAATTAAGTCCAGAGCCATTAAGCAATTTCTTACTCTTTATTGGCGGAGCTGGCCTCTCAAGCTCAAATTCAGTGGTGGGGATGTTTCTCCACGAACTAAAGTCACTAGCTTCCGGTGGAATAGTGAAGTTGACGTCCCTACCTGTGAGTTCCTTCCATCTTTTGCGCTCCTCTTCATCAAGAACCATGAGATTCGGAGATGGCACAACCTCGATCCCATGAACACACTGAGGATTTGATAGGCCTCTATAATGCTTCCTTTGCATCCTATGGGATCGAATGAAACCCCTGTCAGCACTAAAGGGAAACGGACGTTCGCCTTGTCGAGAATGACCATTCATGTAACTCCGTAGCTGCATCTTACCCAATGCATTCTCAGGCCTATCCTTGAATACCCACATGTACATATTCTCCATATCATGCTGAACCATGAAAACGTCAAGCTGTAGATCAGATTTATCAAACCCGGAAACCCCATTACTATCTCGGACCATCTTTGGCTTAGATTTCTCATTTAAAACGGGCTTAAAGTAAAAGCTAAAGAAAAACCAAGCGCCCCAGATGCTATCTACACGTTTCACACATTTCCTCCCAACTTTAGGCACACTAAGAAAAGTTTCAGGTTCATAGATCTGGGTACCAAGCCCAACATCAAGAATATCACAATGTTCCGAATTCCATGGCTGAGGAGGCGAGCTACGCTCAGCGGATAAGGGCAGATTGATATCAGGCGGACGAGTAATAACAACTTGGCGATTCATCTCGAGGTCTAATTCATCATGTGAAGAAGAGGCACTTGAATCCATTGACAAAAGGGTTGAAGGGTGATGATTATTTTCCATTGACAATGTTTTAAGAAGAGTATCTACCATTTCACAAATTTATCCCCTTAAAAAGGGACTCTATTGCTAAATGCTAGCTCCAATATTTAAGTACCCAAATGAACTTTTTTGACAAAGAATTGTTCTTTACTAACAACACATCCATCTTGATAATCCCAACCACAACATTCACACTACCACTAAATCCCTTTTACTTATTCATCACATAACTACAAACCCCACAAAACCCCAAATAGGAAAATAGTCAAAATATTCAGCAACAGCTATAAAACTCCAAAAAAGCTATAAAAATGAAATCTTGGAAACCCCATAGCCATTATTTCCCCCAAAACCTACAGAAAAACTGTATCTTTTTGCATCTAATAACAGAACTATATGTATTTTTGATTATGTAAAAATCAAGAAAATTGATATGGGAAGGGAAAAGAGGAGAATGTATTACCAATCAATAAAGCCAAGGCCCAAGAAAAGGACTAAATCAGAAGGGATCTTAGATGAATACCTTTTAGGATAAGCTTCAACAACTAAAAACCCACAAATATTTGGACACTCTGAAGAATCAATAGCCCTCACCATCCTCATATCTTCACTTTCTACTAACAGATTTTTCACTTTTGGTTTGAAGAATTTACACACACACACACACACAGCAATTACATAGGAATGAAGTGAAAAAGAACTCAAGTCAAGACTACAAAGAGAGAGGGGAAAAAAGGGGAACACAAATATATGGGGAAATTAGTTTGTGCTTTTGGTGTTTGGTGGTAACAAACAGAAATACCCTGTACTAGATAACACCGTTTGATCTAAGAGTATTCACCGTTTGATTGATTTAAGAACAGTTGTCACCATTTTCATTAACGGTGACGGTGGTTTTTTGGACTGTTTGTGGGGGTAGATAAAAAGTGGGGGATGGTAAGAGATTGATATAATTAATTAGGGTTGGTGTTTAGTGAGTTGCTTGTACCATTTGAAGTTTTACTACCTTTTGAGTTGTTTAGATTTTGTTTATTTATGTTTCACACAAAGTTTGACTTACTATTTTTTACTCTCCTTGGTATCAAGAGGGAGTGATAAGTATTTACCCGTAAAACGGTACAGTTAAATTTATAATATGATTTATGAATACGTGAATTAATTTGACCAAAAATATGAAATAAATAAGAATAGATATAAAATTAAAAAATAATCTGAAGGAAAATACGAGTCTGGTTAGGAATTTAGCTTCTCTGGTAACAGAAACAAGAACAATATCAAGAACGGATAAAAGAGCAGTTTGATAGAAGAAGAGTTGATGTTAGCTTTTATGTACAAAATGTTTCATGTCCTATATTGGATACTAATTCTCCTATTTATAGTTTTATTTAGGGAGACAGGATCCCTAAATCAAGCTCTTCTTGAATGAGAATGAAGCCCTCATTGATGGTTGCATAACGGTTGGCTATAAATGCACATATTCTCTATAACGAATGCTCATTGAATATTATCCGATATCACCCCTTCAAATCTTTGTTATCAGTTCCCCTGTCTTCGGAATTCACCCCGCACTGGTCATATGCTTGTACTCGGTGCCAACTACTTGCTGATTCACACCTTACATGTCTTTGGTTCCTCCTGTCACTTCCTCATTTGTCCAGCTGTCATTAACTAATTTTACCGCATACAATAGGTATAAAGAGATGGTTCATATATGTGAAGAGGATAAGCATAAATGTCTCAGCGTGGAGGTACGAGAGACTTGGTAGTGATCGGTCTGAGCAGAAGCAAAGATAGACCGACGATGAATTGAGGAGAGATGATTAGATACGACATGACTCGCTTTTAGGTCTACTTTTTGAGTTGTTTTGATTTTATTTTTATGTTCTACATAAAGTTTGACTAATTATTTTTACTCTCTTTCACTTATTATTTCGTAAAAGTTTCAATACTATCTTCTTTTTATAAATAAATCGACCTTAATTTTTAAATAATCCATATTACTTCCCCTTTTGATTTCCATTTAGCAATTCCATATTTTTTTAAAGTGCGTTTGTTTGCTGCTAAATAAGCTCAATCGAACTAATTACCAAGTTTGGGTTGACTTAGCTTTGACTATTTCAAATACTTAATATAATAGCTTATCTATTTAAGGATAATTACTTAACGAACCGATTTTTAAACTACTAAATTAGTATATGACTTTGACAATTCGATGGGAAAAAAAGTATGATTATATTTCTTTCGTTCATTTGTCGCACTATAAGAACTTTCATGTTTCTATTATTTCATTTGTCCGCTCAACCCGTCCAAAGTTGAGCCGGTGATCTGCCCACCCAATTATTGAACTTAGTTCATCTTGATCCAACTCAGTTCAATTCATCTAAAATTGGATTGATATTTAACTTAAATTGATCTACGAGTAACTTTACTAAAATATCTTTAAAACAATATTTTTCTATTTGATATTTTATATATGACCATAACAAAAGAAAAAAGTTTGATTTGATAACTAAACAATACATAAGAAAACAATACACATTAATTAAATTAAGCTTGGTAAGAGTTGGGCGCATTGGGCTACGACCCAAATTTTAGCGCAACTAGACCCAACCCATCTCAACCCAAGTTATTTTTGGACGGGTCAATTGACCTGTCCAATTATTGACTCAGTCAATTTTGACCCGTCCAAAATCAGCTCAACCCGCCCAGTTGACACCCCTAGTTCCTTTTTACTTGTTGGTATAATTAATAAAAAAAATTCTTTTTACTCGCCCACTTTAAGAAATTAAGAGAGAATTAACTTTTTTTGCAATTATATCATTATCATTAATTAACCATTTTTCATACTTATTGAGAAATTAACTACCATTAATAATGGTAATTTACTAAAATTAAAATTTAGTTAACGGTTTCTTAAGGAAAGCGCAAAATGCATATATTGTACAAGTAAAAAAAATGGCGAAAACAACACTAACTTGCGTAATTTTCATCATGTGCTAATATATCAGTAGATAATTTATTAACATGAAAGCTCAGCCTCTTTTAATGGTGGTTAATTTGTGGTCCTATGTGACCTTGTGACTGACTGAGACACATTAGAATTAAACATTATAATTATAATGAAAAAGTAAAAGTATCTCTTCAAATGAAAAACTGAAAAGTGGGTTGGCTTTTCTAAAGGAGTAATTGTGGTGCTTATTTATTCGTCAAGATTCTTGTTTTCTTGTGACCTTCCTATAAAAAAAAACTTTGACACTTGGATCCCCATTCTTGTACTAAAAGTACACCAATTGGTTCTTTTTCGTTCAGTGTTTGGCGTCTGCATTGGATGTCCGACTAATACAGATTTTTAAATTTGCACTAATCCGTTAAAGCAGAAATTTTTCTATCCTATGAGTCCGAACCCAAAACTTATGGTTAATGGTTGAGAGATCCTATTCATCCTATTATAACGTTAGTTAGGAGCGGAAACACCTTGCGGCAAGTAGTGTCACGTGATATCATTTTTTTAATCTTTTATATTAAACATGTACATAAAGATAGTGTACAAAATACACTTTGAATATTGGCATCGCTTATCAAAAATTTTGCGTATGCCACTGACCTCAGTGGTAAGATCAATTTAGTTATACTAACAACAATTCACGTATTATAATCCATAAGCTAAGCTTCATCGAACCTTGAATCTAGTTTTATATATATAACCTCTCAATTATGTCCATTCGTGGCGTTTTAACTTTTAATTAGGAATAATTTATAGTCTTTTGTCCGGCATGTGCAATAATACGTTTGTGATAGATTATTATAAACCCAAATGATCTTTTTGCTTACGAAGCTTAATAACACTTTTTTAAGTTTCTAAAAGGCAATTTAAGTTATATGCAACCCAAACCGTCCATTTTGGTTGTTTCCTAGTATGACTATTTAGTAGTTCATCTTTCCTAGTATGACTCTTGGCATCACCACGAAATTTCTTCTCTTTCCTAGATAATCTAATTTAATCAACCTTTTGTGTAAGGTAAAATTGGTTTGTATTAAATACTTGAATAGTAGAGCGACATGTGAAATCGGAGACAGACGAAAATCGGAAAGCGAGGTAAGTGAATACCAAGACCGGAGACAGCAGCTTCGGTTGGCACCGGGTAGACCTTGAGGAGAATATTGCTAATGAAGACAAACAAATATTTGCCACCCGATGATATTCAATGAAGAATATTCTTCAGTATTAAATATACAATCCGTTATAAATAGTTTTGGCATTCATAACATGCCGTTACACATTCTCAATGTCCCCATAATTGTCATTTAAGAAGGGCTTGATCCTAGGACCTTGTTCCCTAGGTGCAACTATAAATAGTGACTTCAAAACCTATTGTAGATGATGATTTTTCGGTCAAACTTATGCTACACATTATTGTAAGCTTAATAATGCTTTATCTTCTGTCTATTGATATTCTTATCAGTGTCTTCGAAAGCTCTGCTCCCGGAACCAAGCTATTTGTTATCTTATCTCGATTTCAACGCTAAGTCTTGCATTTTATCTAATTTATTTATTTTTTTGAGATTAAATCGATTTACTTGTCTATAAACCACGTTATAAATTCAACTGTACCGTTTTACGGGTAAACAGTTTGGCGCCCACCGTGGGGCTTAGACAATTGCATAATTGAGATGACTTTCCATCTATTACTAATCTGTTTAATTCTTAGTTTCTTAGCGAAATATCGTAAAAAATGGCAGATAACAATGTCAACGTTGCATGCAATGTTGAGACCCAAGGAAATCCGCCGCAACACAAATATTCGAACAGTGATACCCGCAACGAAGAGGATGTAGCCACGCCGATACATGGTAGGCAATATCTACGACATGTTCAGGAGGCAACTCCTGATGATGCTGAAGAAGAGCACGTTGCGGAAACTGTGAGAATCTTGAGGGAACAATAAAAGGCTATTATAGGCCATCTCTCGCAACAAGATCGGGCAATGACACAGTTAGGCAAGCGTTGTCGGGTGCTTCCAACAACGCGAATGGAAGAGGTCCAGTTCCTCTCGGTGCTCCCGCAAACCAAACAACATAAAGGGTTGATAACAACACCCCGAGGGGTGAGGTCGGCTTCGATGGGGCTGGGGGAAACGACAACGGATCTGGTAATAACAATGGGAATGATCCTTTTAAAACCGAACTCCTGCATTTTATGAGGAAAATAAACGCCCGAATGGACCAAATCCCGGGCGCGCCGCCAATGTTGAAAGGACCAGACTTAAAGAAATACACCCAGTTGCCGTTCAAACCAAGCGCAACACCTGAGTTAATCCCGGCGGTTCAAAATGCTAGATGTGCCAAAATATAATGGGACCTCGGATCCTCAGGAGCACATCACCACATACACAACAACCGAGGCTAGGAAGGTACAGGCCTGAAAGGCCAACATATTCAGAATTGCGCAAAGAGAGTCCGAATTGATGTGGGAGTTTGTGACCAGATTTCAGAAGAAAAGGATGTTGTTACCGGCCATGCCCGATGAATGGGCAGTTGAGGCATTTACCAAAGGTCTGAACCCGAGAAGCTCTGACGCTTCCCAAAAACTGAAAGAAAGTCTGCTCGAGTTCTAGGCAACAACATAGGCAGATGTCCACAACCAATATGAATCAAGGATAAGAATAGAGGATGACCAGCTTGATTTTCCGACATCAACCAAGGGTCGGTATCGAGAGAAGAATAAGGAAAAGTTAAAGGATGATTTCGACACAGATGGACGATCTTCTAAAGGCTGGCTTTTGCCCTACAAAAGGGCCGAGGGATGCG